AATCAGAATAGTTTTGCTTCACCACAGCTGTTAGTCTCATTTGCTTTACAAACAGACTAACTGCAAACAAGATTGTTTGCAAGAGAAAGTTAGACATTATTTTACTAACCCACTTTAAAATAAACAACTGTAAAGCCCCTCACTTGATTTAGGAGTAGCCTATGCTAGTTTAAACAGATTCCTAAATTGATTTAAATAATCAAAAGAACTGTTAAATGAAAGTAAAGAGGGCCTGCATGGTTATGAGTCTTCTTAACTAAATGGCCGTGAAACCACACCTTAAGTTAAAACAAGTGCAACGATCTTGTTTAGACTTGCCTCTAGGCCTTACCTGCTCTGCATATGGAATTATTCTGAAATATCTGATTTTATTCTCATTTTTACACGTAACCTTACTCTGCGGTGGTTTCCACATTGAAGGACCCTTTATCTGCAACAAAGCCATGCGTAAAAAAGCAAAAAAGCATAAAAAGATGCTAAGGTGCAGAGCTCCCATGGTTTTTAATATCTGTAGGTAGAAACTTTCCCTATTCAATACTTTCTAGTGTGGAATGCATGACTTCACACCCACCAACATAAACCAGATGTACTCCTTCACCTAGTTTGAACCAGTAATCAGGATGGAATTACCTTAATCTCATATTGATGCTTTTTAGCAATTTTCCCATCTTCTCTTTTCTTAATCTCCTGCTGAGAAGAGAGACACGCATCAATACACTGACAATGACCAGCACAGCCAGTAAAAATTCTCCCATCCAAATGCACTGGAGAACTTTCAACATTATTAAACTTTTCAAGTTGCCCAAACTGTCACCTCTGCTGTTCTCCTTTTTCTGGTCTGGAGATGCTCTGGTGCCTGCAGTTCTTGTGGAGACTCTTCTTGACATGACAGTGGCTGCTGCTGCTTGGCTTGCAAGCGGCTACTGCAAAGAGCAGAAAGACATTAAACATTAGGAGAGCAGCAGTTGTTAGATAAGTACAGATAAGCTTGGTGTATTACGATGCTAACAGTTTACCTGCGTCTTGACATCTTCTTTGGGTTGTAAGATCTCTACCTGGACCAAAGGAATAACATAAGCTCAGTTACTGTACCCTCAAGAAGTTAGGACCAAGTTCCGTACTTTGCATCATAAGACGCATCACAAAGAGCAGCATGGTTGACACAACTGAAATAGCTCTGGCGTGAGGGACACCTGAGCAGAGGACGGCTGTGGTACGTAATCACAGGCAGCTCCACGTCCTGCTGGGTGTTACACTGCTAAAGTGGGTGACACAGGGATGCCCACGTATGCCAGCAGTCAGTTTAGCTCAGGCTAGCTGCGCTCGTCTAGCCCGGGGCGGGGGGAAGCTGTAAAGGGACATTTCCCACGCAAGAGGATGCGGGAGGGTCCCTGGGGCCGTGACCCCCC